TCGTCTCACACACCTTCTCTCTCCGCAAGCCCGACAACGTTCCTTCCGAGCTGATCGCCCACTAGGAGGCCAAGCTTGTTTTGAACCATCTACTTGCGCGTAAACTCGGCCGCCATGGTTCTGCCGTCGTCGTCGCTGGCAACGCCTGTCGCTAATGTCGTCAGCGCCAGGCTGGTTTCCGCGATCGCCGGTGCTCCCGCAGCACCGCAGCAGAGCCTTCTCTCCGCCCTCCGATCCCCGTTCGTCGGGTCATCAAAACCCTCAAACCCTAACGGCGCCGCCGTTGCCGCCCAAATGGGTGTGAGAAAGTCGCGGCCTTGCGTTGTTCTGGCTGCCGCAGGCGACGGTGCGCGATCCGTCGGCGCGTCCGCGGCGGCGGCAACTGCGACGACGGCGACGACGAAGGACGAGGCGGAGGTGGCGCAGGCGATTCTGCGGGCGAACGAGGAGGTGGCGATGCTGAGCGAGGAGCTGGAGGGCATGTCGCCACTCGCTATCATGGACCGGGTGAGTGTCGCCCGTAGCCCGCAATGTCGCCCGTCGCCCACGATGTCGCCCGTCGCCAGCAATGTCGCCTTTCGCCAGCGGTATCGATCGTCGCAACCAATGCCGCCGACAGCACAGAGCAATGCGCGCAAGGAAACGTTGTGCCGATGGAGCTGGCTGAAGGACGACCCAGTATCGCGAGCAACGACTTCTGACAGAAGCACGTAACAACGGCGTAAGCACGCCGTAACCACTGCAACGGCGTAGCGATGCGTGCATTTGACAAACCCATTGTCTGCGTTTCTCTCCACTCTCAGACACCATCACCCCATCGTCTTCTTTCTACTCAGTATCTCCAAGCTCACCTGGACCTGGCCTTCTCCCTGCACCACATTTCCCCCTCCGATCTCGACCGTCCGATCAGGTGTTGGAGTTGTACGGTGTGGATGCGGCGATCGCGTTCAGCGGCGCGGAGGACGTGCTGCTGGTGGAGCTGGCGGCGAGCACGGGCCGTCCCTTCCGCGTCTTCTGCCTCGACACGGGCCGCCTCAACCCCGAGACCTACCGCTTCCTCCACCAGGTATCATTCTCCGCTTCATGTCGCCCGGTTTTTTGTTTTTTTTTTTTTTGTGTGTTTTTTTTTCCGTCATTTTCTCATGACCTTTCCTCTAACAAAATGCTGTTATTGCGGTTGTTCAATGTTTCTTTAGCTCTTGTTTAAACACACACTCTCACTCACTCTCTCTTTCCCTCTGGATCCTTCCTCGCAATGCAATCTGCGATGTGCGCGCGTGCGTGTGCGCGTGCTTGCTTGCTTGCTACAGGTGGAGCAGCACTACGGGGTGCGCATGGAGGTGCTGTTCCCGGACGCGGCGGCGGTAGAGCAGCTGGTGGGCGCCAAGGGGCTCTTCTCCTTCTACACCGACGGCCACTTCGAGTGCTGCTCCGTGCGCAAAGTGCAGCCGCTCAAGGTGCGCGCGCGCCACACTGGGGGAAAGAGGGGGAGGTGGGGAGGGGTGAGAAGAGAGGAGGGATGAGAGGGCGGCCGGGAGGTTGGGGGAGGGGGTTTCTGAGGAGAACGAGTTTGTTAGACCTGGATGTTTAAGTGGAGGGAAAATCAGGAAAAGTCCCTCTCTCCTCCACCCAGGAAAAGAATGAAAGAAGACAAGATGACAAAAAGAAAGGGGACGGCGAGACGGGAAGGAGGAGTCGCATGCAGCCACGTGATGCCACCCGTTTGGCCGAAAGAGGCACACTCGCTGCCTCTCATGCCGGCCCTACTCATGTCATAGTTACTCTGATGGCTGCACGCACTCTTGAACGGTCTCTGGCTTTGATGATAATGAGTAGCAGTGCAGCAAAGAACGGCATGAAGCTATAGTAGCAACTTCTGTCGCTAGACTCCATGCCTTTGTCTCGCTTCGCTTCCTCTCGTGGTGTCCCCGCTCTGATCTACTTCCATGTGTTGATACACGTTTCTCCGCCCCCATCGTCGCATGTATCTGCTCCGCCGCTCACCTCCCCCACCCCGTCCTCTTCACCCTTCCTCCCCGGCCCCACACAACCTTCCCCCCGCCCCTCCCCGCCCGCTCTCAACCCTCAGCGCAAGCTCCGCACGCTGCGCGCGTGGATCACGGGGCAGAGGCGGGACCAGTCCGTGGGGACACGTGCTAACGTGCCACTGGTGCAGGTCGACCCGGGCAGCGAGGGCGCAGGCGGCGCAGTGGGCACCCTAGTCAAAGTCAACCCGCTCGCCCTCGTCTCCGGCTCAGACGTCTGGCACATGCTGGAGGCTCTAGAAGTCCCCACGAACCCACTCCACGCGCAGGGGTTTACCTCCATAGGCTGCGAGCCCTGCACTCGCCCCGTGCTGCCTCACCAGCACGAGCGCGAGGGGCGCTGGTGGTGGGAGGAGGCGGGGAGCAAGGAGTGCGGGTTGCACCAGCCGTCATCCGGCTCCGCCGCCAAGGGCGCTGCTGCTCCCACGGGCGCGTCCGCCGCTGCTGCGCTGTCCGCGCTCGCGCTGGCGCCCGCGGTGGGGCCGGGCGGGCTGGCGACGCGCGGGCACACGGGCGTGGGCACGCGCGCGGCTGCTGAGGCGGAGCTGGCGGCCGCGGAGGTGGCGAGAAGGGAGGAGGAGGAGCGGGAGCGGCAGAGGCGGAGAGAGGAGGAGGCGGAGGATATCTATGTGGATGGGGGCGTGGAGGAGCTCTGTGCCAGGGATGTTGAGCTGCTGGTCCGTGCTCTCTTCTCGCCTGCCTGCCTGCCTCCCCCCCGCCACCCTTCCTTCCTCCCTTCCTCCCTCCCTCCCTCCCTCCCTCCCTCCCTCCCTCCCTCCCTCCCTCACTCACTCACTCCCTCCCTCCCTCCCTTCCCCCAGTCTTCCCTCCCTCCCTTCCCCCCCACTTCCCTCCCTCCTTCCTCCCTCCCTCTCCCCTCCCTCCCATCCTGTCTCTCGCTTTCTCCCTCTCCTTATCTTGCTGCGTGTGGCGTCTTGTCCTTCTCTGCCTGTCCACCTCACCTTGCTTTTTTCTCCTCGTCCCACTGCTTCTGTCTTCGTCTCACATGCATGCCCCGCATGTGCCTTGGTCTGCCTTTCAACCCATCCACACACCTCACTCATCATCCCCCTTCTTTCCAACTCCCACTCCTACCTCGCCTTCCCTCCGCTTTCCCCTCTCCAGCTGTCGCCAGCAGCAGCAGCGACCCCAGAGGAGCAGCGGCGGGCAGGGGAGCTAGCGGCGTGGTCGTGGCTGGTGGTGGTGTACGCGCCCTGGTGCCCCTTCTGCCAGGCGCTCGAGCCCGCTCTCCTGCACACCGCGGGCGTGCTGCGAGGGGAGGAGGGCGCACGCACACGAGTCGCCAAGTTCAGGGTGGGTGGAGTGGTGAGGGGATGGTGGTGTGGGATGCGCGTGGGATGCGTGTGGGATGCGCGTGGGAGGGGTGACATGACATGGGATGTGGTATACCGTGATCTCCTGGATAGAAGCCCCGGGGGTCTTATCCTAAATGTGCTTGAAATGGGTTGTGGGGTCTTATGTAATGGCATATAGTGCATAAGACCCCTGGACATCTATTAATTACTAAAAAATGGATTGTGTAGTGCAGTGTTGAATAAATTCGAAAATTTCTGTACTGAATTTTGGATTCCTTCACAGCGCGGAAATTCATTCTCAGATTCTCGCACTCGAGTCTCCCTGATTCCTTTCCGCACGTTCAGAAATGCCGAACAATGACAGGCACGTCAGCATTTCTTGCTTGAAGGGCGGCAAAAACGCGTGATTGATGTGGCATCTTGACTCCCTTGACCACAAATTCTCCTGTCAAAGTGAATTTCGTGGTTTTTTGTGTGACTCGCTAACCAGCTCATGAACTAACACCACTCATTATAGCCTGAGGGGGGGTCTTATAATGATTTGGGTCAAAAGACGGGTCCTCTCCAGGACTGACTTAATAAAAGACCCCTGGTCCGGATAGAAGACCCACGGGGCTTTTATGCGGGGGGGTCTTGTAACCGGGAGATCACGGTATTCTCACTCCTGCACCTGCTCTTCCCGTTTCTGTCTTGAACTTCACGTTTCCACACTCCCCATACCCACACTTGAGGGTTTTTTTTTTTTGTTTTCCTTTCCACTACCCTCCTATCCTGTCTTACAAACAACACCCACTTCTCCCCCTTCCTTCCTCTCTTTCCTCTTTCCCTTCCCCTCTTTCCCCCTTTGCACACTTCCCTTCTTTTTTCCCCATTCCCTCCCCCCTGACCCCTTTTCCCCATGGCAGGGCGATCGGGACATGCGGCAGTTTGCACGGGAGCGCCTGGGCGCCGGGTCCTTCCCCACCATTCTCTCCGTGCGCCCACGCCAGGGGCAACAGGCAGCGCTTGTGGTGAAGATGCGCGGCGAGAGGCGCGACTCAGACTCCCTGCTCAACTTTGTCCGGCAGCTCAGCTGAAGGGGCAGGACGGCGGCAGATACGAGGAATGTGGTCAAAAACCAGAATCTAGATGGTAGGAGGAGGAAGTGAAGAGTGGCTGTTGGTGTTAGGTTTCACTGGTGGTGGAGGGAGCAGCAGGCAGAGGTGGTGTCGTGCGCTTCTCTGCCAGCAGAGGCGGTGTGAGTGGGTAGTAAGCTTGCAACCTGGTTCTGGTCAGGCTGATCACTTGACACAGTTTTAGTGGCATATCTGACTACGGTAACAGACTCCTTAGGTGCATGTGGGTTTGGATTCCGTGCCTCTTGGATCAACGGAATGGGATGTCCTCAACTGCTGCTGTGTAGCAAACTCTACGCTACGGGGTATCTACCGGTATTTCCGTCTCCGTAAACCATTCATTTAAGCACAGAAAAGAGAGTGTCACATGTTTCACCTTGCATGAAGCGAGTGCGTCAGTCTGTGCATCTGCGGCTGCTCAAAGCTTCGTCATCAACCAATATTATAAACATTATGACTTCGTACAGCATGCACCATGTGCATGTGTCGCTGCTGCATGGAGCATCATGAGCAGGTGCAGAACATCAAGAAGCAGCATCCAGCACGTCTGCTGCAAGCCACAGGAGCACAGGGTCAAACCGGCGCAGCAGTAGCACTTCCTCATATGCACTCCCACCTGAAGCATCCCTTTTCTCGTTCACCCTGCGGAACCCTGCTGCCACCAGAATGGCCACCGCCGCTGCATGCACAGATAGAGAGACGTTGTGCATGTTTGGAGTGAACAACAGGAGGTATGACGGGCAGGCTTGATTCAATGTGCAAGAGCATTGGGTAAGCGATGGTGAAGGGTTCATCACGGGACGGACACAATCAGCAAACACATGATTAGCACATGAGTTGACGGATTAGATGGACAGCTCACATCTAACAAGAAAGGAATGCAGGGGCGTGGCAGAGATACGACATGACAAGACACAAATTGACACAACACCAAGTGACACGAGAGGCGCATGGGAAGTGGGTACCACGAGAGGTGTGTACCTGTGAACCTGCCGGCACTGCTGTGGAACTTGGGATTGGCCTGGAGACATGGAGAGAGGGCATGGAAACACACGCGCATCGGTGCACACACTCACAACGCGCACACGCGCACACACACACGCACACACACACACACACACACACACACACACACACACACACACACACACACACACACACACACACACACACACACACACACACACACACACACACACACACACACAGACACACACACGCATAAAAGTAGAAAGGGAAGTTGAGAAACAAATGAGTGAGCTGGTGCAACAAATGCTGTGGAGAAGCACGGAAGTAGGAGTGAGGGAAATGGCAAGAACTGAACTCACTGGCCGAATGCGGTGGTACTTGGTATCGTGGGGGTGTTGCCTGGCGTTGCTGTAACAGGGGAGGAATGGCAATGGGAAAGAAGGAACGGGGATGAAGTGGAAGGGAAGAGTGAGGGCAAGGAGAGAAGGAGCACGAATGAGGAAGGAGGTTGGAAGGCAGTAGAGAGAACAGAGAGGCACACATCAACAAGGCTGCAGGAAGCAAATCAACGTCCAGCAATGGAGGAGTTTGAGACAGCAAGGCGAGGCGGAGCTTTGGCGGGGCAGGGCGGGGCGGGGCGGGTTGGGGAGGAGCGGGTTGGGGCAAGGTAAGGCACACACTTGACAATGCGCGAGAGAGTGGCGAGGGCAGTGTGGAACTCCTGTGAGTCCTGAACCTCCTGCCGCAGCTGCTCCCTCAGCGCCACTAGCCTGTGTGATGCCTCATGCGATGCTGCATGCACGTACGCCACCTCCTCCCCTATGGCCGCTGCCATGTCCATGTGCTCCTCTCCACCGCTTCCCTTTCCTGATGCTGATGCTGATGCCTCCGTTTCTGCTGCTGCTGCTGCTGCTGCTGCTGCCACCGCCAGTGCTGCAGCTGTTTCTGGTCCTGCTGCCGCTGCTTCTGCTGCTGCCCCAATATCTGCTGCTTCTATTCTTGCTGTTCCTGAAGTTGTTCCCACATTCCCACCTCCACCAGCACCACAATTTCCAATCCCACCTCCATCCTTACACCCAAGTGCACTACCTGCTTCCCTGCTGCTGCCATCGGTGCCATCATCTTGCACCCAGGGCTGCAACAACAGAGTGCTCCCTGCATGCCCTGCAGCATCACTTTCTTGCATCGCATGTGAATCATCTGCTGCCATGCACCCACTGTGCCGCCCAGTGACCCCACTCTGACTGGCTTCTCTTGTCCTTTCCCGCGCTGACCCTCTCGTCCTCTTCCCGTCTCTTGTGCCACCTGCTTCTGCTGCTGCTGCTGCTGCTGCTGCGGATAATTGTGGCCTTCCTTTCAGGGAATCTGCAGCTGCAGCAGCTGCTTCTGCAGGTGCTCCTGCTTCACCTCCCCGTCTCGCTGCCACTGCCGCTGCAAGTGCCGCCTGCGCTCTTGCCTCTGCTGCTGCCGCCGCCGCCGCAGCTGCTGGTGCTGCAGGCGCCACCGGCAGCAGCGTGCGAGGTGCAGCAGTCGTGACGTGCGGATGCGAGGACGAGGGAGGGGGGTTGGAGAGAAGGTGTGAGAGGGAGGCGGAGGGGGGAGCTGTAGAGTGTGAGACGGAGCGAGTCCAGTCTGACGCCTCCACCTCCTTGCTCAGCTGTGATCGGAACAGAAAGAGGGCGAGTTGAGAGCAGGAAAGGTAGGGTGGAGGGAGGGACGGCGGATGGAGGGATGGAGGGAGGGAGAGGGCACGAAGAAGATGGGGATAGGAGGTTCAGGGTTAAAAAGGGGCGAGAGGAAGACGCTGAGAATGCAACTTCGGAAAGGGCTTCAGGGCTGGTCAAAGAGCAGAGTTGGAAGAAGGGTCAGAGCTGGCAAAAAAAAAAAAAAAAAAAAAAGTTTAATTGCATCCCATCTACGCATGCCTCACATGCCTCCTATCCACAGAGCACACTCACCTGGCTATCGAGTGCCTTGAACTGCGCATTGTGGTCATCCACCTCCATGTGCGCCTGTGGTACAGAAGACAGCCAAGGAGCAGCCAGGAGGAGAGCAGCCAAGGGAGGGCGGCAAGGAGCAGGCGCGAGAGGAGTGGAGAGGGTTGGTAAATGAAGGGAGAGCACTGGGAGAAAGTTCAGCCTCCAAAGATGGCACCATCCTGTTGCTGCGATTCGATCCTTGACTGTCCCTCACAGGCAATAACCTCAGCCCCTCCCCAGCTGCAATATGTCCCTCTCCTGCTCCTACCACCTCTCCCCACCTTTCCCCGCCTCTCTCCACCTCTCCCCACCTCTCCCCACCTCTCCCAATCCCCCCCCCCCCCCCCCCCCCCCCGGTGCTCACGAGCTCGTGAATGAGAGTGCGGCGGATGGCGAGGTACTTGCGGAAGCCCCTGAGGTCGTCCGTGCGCAGCCGCAGACACACCTCCTCTCCGCGGTTCTAATACCGCCCATGCCGTCACGTTGATGGGGGGGAGAGGGGGGTTGAGGGTTGGCATGGCAGCATGGCCGTGTGGAGTTGGGGGATTAGGTGAAGAAGGAGAAGGTAGCATGACGACCCAACATGACGACCTCAGAGAAATGGAATAGCACGACCCACCACGAGCATGGCTGTGCCAATGCGCAACTACTGCTTCTAACTCTGTCAAAGCACGAGAGTGCTGTGCGGTAGGGTGGAGCTCGGTGCAGTCCAGTGCGGTGCTCCCACCTTGTTAAAGCCCAGCAGGCACACGGGCGACACTCCCACGAGGCCCTCCGGAGGCAGCTCGCTCAAAAGCCGCACAGACCAGCGGTGCTGGGGGGAGAGGGGGGTGTTGGGGGAGTGGAGAAGGGTGTGTGGGTGAGGTGGCTGCAGGGATGGATGAAGCCACGAACGACTCGTAATTGCGGATATATATATAAATATATATGTATATACACATATATATAGATATATATATAGATATATATATATATATATATATCAACGAGTGTGGCAATGAGCAGCCACGCTTACATGAGCTAGCTTGAATGTTACGGAGATCATCAAGCGCATGGAATCTTGCCCCCTTGAAACCTGTGACAAATCAGGCCCCCTTGCCACTAACCCCTCACGCTATCCCCTCGCACCTATCCCCACATCAATATTGCCTCGTGTTGACTTACTGATCTCCGTCGGGTTGCCTGCCCACCTTGTGCATGACGGCCACTATCCCCGGGTCCGCTGCCAGGCGCTGCAGCAGCGCCAGCGCCTCAGACACAGGCGGGCGCATCTGACCATGGAGACGCGGGGCGCGCGGGGCGGAGGGCGCAGGGGGGAGGGCGCAGGGTGCAGAGACGTGTGGGGGAAGGCGGGGGCGAAAGAAGGACGAGGGGGTTCGTGTGAGATGGGTGTGGTGTGGAAGGGAGTGGGTGGAGAGAGATGGGTGTGGTGTGGAAGGGAGTGGGTGGAGACAGGGGGCAGAAGGGGATGCAGGGGGAGTGAGATGTGTTGTGTATGGGAAGCTATGGGCGAGGCTGGGCTGGGAGATTATTATTAATTGATACACGCTCCGGGTCTTGCGTCCTGTCCGCTCACCTCACTTCCAGGAAGCTGCCATGTGCGGAAGTCGTGAAAAGTGTAAGGGCCCTTGGGAACAGCAACACGCTCCTTCTTACTATAACCGCTTCCCCCGCCTACGCCCGCCGCGCCGCGCCGAATCGCCCGCTCGATCTCCTCCTCGAATCCGATCACGCGCTGCGACGCGGCGGCCTGCGGGCCCGCCTGCAGAGCGGACATCGCCGCCACGTCAGCGATGGTGGAGGCCAGCAGAGTGACCTGCGAGCCGTGCGCGATTCCCGCGTCGCTGAGCGCGCGGTGGCGGACGGATGGGTCGCTCAGTCGCAGGAGGGACGGCGTCGCCTGCGACTTGGCAGCAGACGCCGTCGCAGCAGTCGCAGATGCGGTCGCAAGCCCGGTTCCGGCAGTCGCTGCGCCGTTGCTGGGGTCGCGGAAAGGTGACAAGTGCGCGCGCGCGCGAACCATGAGCTTCAGCGTGGCGGAATCGACCGCAAGTTTCGCGCACAGGCACGCGGAAAGCGCAAGCAGCGGGGAGCGCGGATGCATGCGCAAGGAGACGCGCTGCCCGCGGAAGGTGACTTGGAACTCGATAGTGTCACCCCCTGTGCACCCCTCTGTACAATCACACGTACTGTTTGCGATGAACGTCTCCCTGGCGGATGCAGCCATGTCCGTTCCGTCTATGTCAACGTCTACGTCTGCGTCTACGTCAACGTCAATGTCCATCGGGCTGCTGGAAAGAACCTCACGCACTGCAGCTTCGTCTCTGACCCCAGGAACAGCCTCGCCTTCTGAAGCGCCACTGCCACTGCAATGCAGATCACTGCCACCTGCCTCTCCATCCGCTATAAGCTGCTCCATCTGCTCCGATATAATATCCGCCTCCATGGCGCCAGTCGCAGTCCGTTCTAAGTCGAAATTCCTTAACAGGTCACAGTCGCTATCCACCTTGGAGTTTGCCGCTGCTGCTGCTGCTGCGATGCAGGGTTCTACTCCAGAAGCCGCAGATTTCTCACCCTGGTTGCTCCCAGCTGCCATAGCGAGGTCGCCAAACTGATGTATCCAGATGCGTCTATGGACGAGTATGAGTGTGAGAGCTTATGAGTGTGTGCGGGTTGGCGGAGTGGCCGGTTGCTGGCCTTGCAATAGGCGACACCACCGATTATAGACGTTTCTAGATCAGGCAAGCGTTTCGGGGTGTTTCGCAGAAGCCTGGGAAAGACGGATGGTTCGAAGAATTGTGGGCTCGTACGCTTTCTGGAACACGCCGTCAAAACATGTGTGGTGTAAGGAATTTTCTCGGCATTCCTTACGGAGTCCGACTACATGTTGTTCGCCCGTTACTGCTAACGGGGTTTCGCCAACTTCGCGCGCACTGTTTTGCCAAACCCCGCACTGCTGGCCCGGCCGTGTCGGCCTACGCTTCGGGACTAGCCCGAGCCTCGCTGCCAGCATAGCACTAGCTAGCTCGCACGCACCGCGTTACCGTTTGCATGTTTCGCGTATAAATGTTCGCACATGACTTCGCTCACATTTTGTACTCGTTTGACACCATAGTGCAATCCTCGCTACTTCGATTCATTGCACACGTAACACTTGGTATCAGAGCCTCTCTCCTTTTCGGACCGCGCATCTCCGCACCCCAGGAAATCAACTTTTGATTTTTCACTCGAAGGGACTCACGCACCTTAGCATCTAGGAGCCGCTGTCCTCGCGTTCTCTCGTAAACGCGTGCAGCCACGACTGCGCCTAGACTAAGACGAGCCGACGCCCTTCGAAATGGCTGAGCATATCGATGTCACGACTCTCACGCAGGAGCACTTGAACAAACTGCTACGGCAAATCCGCGAGAGCGCCGAAAAATCGCGATGTTGACGGCAGAACGCTCGTCCCTGCAAAATGATCTCACACGAGCACAACAAGCACAATCTCAAGCACCTGGCACTCCGGAATAGCCTGTGTGAAATAACGAGGAATGAAATGACTAGGCAGAATGTGGGTACAAGTAGGAAACCTAGAAAGGTTGTACCCTATATTGTCTACCCCACTACAGCCTAGATAGACCATAGCATATATGTTTGACACACCCCCATAGGCAAAGTGGGGGAGAACAAGAGGTCACAAGACCAGTCAAGCAAAGCAAAGCAAGCTCAGGGTGGATCACAATGTCACCACACATTCCGAGCACACGTTCAAGGCGACAAGGCCAGTTCACATGCAAGATTATATATAAAGGTAAACAAGCAAGTGCAGGTTTTGAGAGATCACAGTACAAGCAAGGTCAAGAAATGAGCAAGTGAGGCCAAGTAGGCACAAGACCTAGCATCGTACAAAAGCGCTGATGATCACAAGGCTGAAGTGCCTTGGTAAAGATATCAGCAGTGTTGGCCCGAGAGGCCACGTATGCAAGGCGCAGCTGACCACGCTGCTGCAGCTCACGAGCAAGGAAGTAGCGAAGAGCAATGTGCTTCGTTCTGTGCTCCAGTCTGTGCTCCCGACACAAGGCCAGCATGGCCTTGTTGTCTACGTACAGAACTGGAGGAGAACGAGGCGGCTCTCCCAAGTCAGTCAGCAGGTAGGTGAGCCATCGTAACTCCTGTGCAGCCATGGCCCCTGCGTAGATCTCAGCCTCACAGCTGGAGCCGAGAACAGAAGACGAGCGGGTAGACCGCCACGAAACAGAGCCAGAACCAAGGCTGAAGGTGTAACCCTGTGACGACCGCTGCGTAGCCTGGTCGTCAGCCCAAGAAGCGTCTGCGTGACCTGTGAGGACCACTGGACTCCGCCCTCGGGGCACAAGCCCCATGCCCGACGTACTGCACAAGTAGCGCAACACCCTCTTCGCTGCAGCCATGTGCTCTGGTCGGTGTCTCCCAGGAGCAACATAGCGTGCCAAGATGCTAAGAGGGTATGCAAGGTCAGGTCGTGTGCAGGTCATCAGGTACATGAGGCAGCCAACAAGCTCTGGGTACGGGCCACTCGGCTCTACGGACTCATCCGAAGGCAGAGCTAAGAGCGAGTGGCGAGTAGACAGAGGAGTGGCCTGAGGCGAGGAGTACGTGAAGTCGAAGCGCTGAAGGACCTGCTGCACCATGTGTGAGTGAGTCAGGGTAATGGTGCGCCGTGCTCTGTCCCGAGTGATCTGCAAGCCAAGGTAGCTGCGCAGTTCACCCAGGTCTGTGCACGTGTGTCTCTTCTGCAGCTCGGACTTCACGTGGGCGAGTCCAGCAGTGTCAGCGGTAGCAAAGACCAAGTCGTCGACGTACACGAGGATGTAGAACGGCGGCAAAAAAATGTCGGTGCGTAGAAACAGCGACGGGTCGGCAGTAGAAGGAGCAAACCCAAGAGCCGCAAGCGTAGTCCTCAGTGTGTCGTGCCACTCACGGGGCGCCTGGCGGAGACCGTAGACTGGCCGCCGGAGGCTCCACTGGGTACCAGGAGGAGACGACCCACTTAAGCCAGGTGGGCGGCGCAGCCAGATCTCCTCGTGCAGGCTGCCCTGTAGGAAAGCAGTGCTGAAGTCAAGAGAGTCAAGCTCGTAGTCGCGCTGAGCGGCTATGTGCAGCACCACCCGAAGAGTGGTCATCTTCGGGGTGGGAGAGAAGGTCTGAAAGTAGTCAACTCCCTGCCGCTGACTGAAGCCTCGAGCCACGTAACGTGCCTTGAAGACAGGCGGAGAACCCGGCGGCCGCTTCACCCTGAAAATCCACATGCCACTGACGATGTTCGCCCCAGGTGGGGGAACCTCGTCCACGTAGGTGCCTGTGGACTTCCAGGAAGCCATCTCTGCGTCCATGGCTGACTGCCACTGTGAGGAGTAGGGACCCTCGATCGACTCAGCGTACGATCGAGGAGTCGGGATGTCTGGTGCATCCGGGTCTCCCTCAGGGGCAATCAGCATGGACACGAGATGAGGCAAAGCAGCAGCAAAACACTGGAACTCCTCCTGCCTGTCCTCAAGGACGTCCGTGCTAAGAGCACTCTCACCCCCGACGGACGGAGGACAGACAGACTCAGACTCAGCAACAAGACTAGCGGTGTAGTCTAGACGACAGTGAGCAGCGAAGTCGACAAGCTCAGCAACTAAGGCAGACGCAGCAGGAAGAGTCAAAGGACTCAAAGGAAGGGTCGGTGACAGCAGTAGCCAGGAGACGCGTGACAGTAGGACTGGCAGCACGAAGAGAGTCAGACTCCGGGTCAGCAAGAGCAGGAAGAGAGGACTCTGGGGGAGACGGCAAAGGGACACGCAGTGGAGCAGTGGAAGGACGCAGTGCCATCTGGTGTGTGCCCGGGACCGCAGGAGGACGCTGACGCGGAACACGACGACTAGTGCGAGCAGCACGAACAGGCGACGCAGGACGAGACGCAGGCTCACGACGCTCAGCAAGACCTCCAGTAGGACCAGTGTAGGGAGAAGGAGCAGGCAGCGGGGAGGCAGGCTGCAACTGTGACTCGGACTGGACAGGCAGTGGACACTCTAAAGAAGGAGCAGGACCCGTAGAGGGTGGAAGACCAAGAACCTGCTCAAGGAGCGTAACGAAGTACGGCCGTGGCCGCGCAGCACCTCCAAAACCAGCAGGGACAGTACCAGCATCCCCAGGGTCGGCCCCGACTCCAGCAGCTCCACCAGCTCCAGGAGCAGCCACTCTAGCACCCACAGGAGCACTGGCAACAGCAGCACCTCCAGCTCCAGCACCTCCAGCAGCTCCAGCTCCAGCAGGACCACCGGAAGACTCAACAGCCCCAGCTCCAGCACCTCCAGTAGCACCTACTCCAGCAACACCGCCAGCTCCAGCACCAGGAGCACCCCCAGGCCCAGCAGCTCCAGTACCTCCAGTACGAGCACCTCCGGGACCCGTGGCGTCAGAACCCTCAGCAGCAGTAGAACCTCCAGCTCCAGCGGCACCTCTAGCTCCAGCAGCACGGCTCCAGCGCCGAGAAAACCACTTGCGCAGCTCCTGTGGAGAGGGTAGCTCCCGCCGGGACGAAGCACCCGAAGGACCTCCAGACCCAGTACCGCCAGACTCCACACGAGAAGGTCCAGCACCCTCAGGCTCCGCACCCCCAGTCGCAGCACCCCTAGTCTCAGCACCCCCAGACTCAGCACCCTCAGGCTCAGCACCCCCAGACTCAGCACCCCCAGGCTCAGCACCCCCAGACTCCGCACCCGCAGGCTCAGCACCCCCAGCAGCACCAGAGTCAACAGCTACCTCGCCAGGCTCGACTGCGTCTACCTGGGACACACCTGAGGGGGCAGGACCCTGAGGGGGAAGGGGGTCTACCGGGGGAGGACCTGGAGCGAGGAAGAGCGGCGGGGGGGGGAGGGGGGCAGCGCGGTAGGGGAAGAGACGGTAGTAAGGAACCGACTCGTCAAACGTGACGTCCTGGGAGGACAGAACACGGCGCGAGGTGGGGTGGTAAAACTGCCAACCAGGCGCCTCAGGGGGGAAGCCAAGGAAGACGCA